GCCCCCTACTCATGTGCAATTGAAAGATTTTAAACTTAACTCTTCTGGTGTGGCCTTTTTTCCAGACCAGCAACTTTCCATTTGTCGGGTCACTGAAGTTGGCATCAACAACTGATATACCACATAGTTGCGCAATTAACTTCCCGAACTTTGAGGGCCAGTATGTCACAGGGTTAGCTACTGTCCTTGCGATCTTGCTACGGTACGAGACGTGCAAACACGCATAATCGCACCGGCCCGCCTGGTACGTTTCAGCCTGGGTCTTTCAAAGTAAGCACAAAATTTTGTCTGTCGTGTGCACTCGAAGCAATTTCTTGAAGATTTGAAATGTCAAACGAATGAAGTAAAACAAAAAAAAAAAAAAATTAAATCAGAAGGGACCTGGAATGCAATTTCGGAATCGGCATCGCGTTTTCTCCATGTTTGCGCCAGTACTTCGAGACCCATGTCAATCAAGCGCTCCATATCCATTGTATCATCAAACTTATAGTCTAACGCCTTCAGGGAATGAAGTAAATCCTGGAAAAAAAAAGAGCAGTTGCAGAGCTGTTTGACTGCAGAATTACTTTATTTCGATGAGTCAGGATGAGGCTCAGTGGCTTATTTTACATAACAATCACTAAACTGAAAAGGTGATGTTGTGTCTATTGTCCACGGCAAGCTAGAGGTTCCCCAAAGACTGCTAAATGCCGTAGGAGGTTTCTACTACAGACTGAATCTACGGGCGAGAATTTCGAATCACTTCCAAACTGAAACATATTTAACGTTATGCATTTGGCACTTCGCGAATATTGTGACTTTTGCATTTTGTAGAATTAAGGCCATTAAACAATGAAAAGAAATTTGACCTTTGCAACAGTAATCCAGTCAGAATTGGGACAAAGATTTGAACTAGTAGAACCCATGCGACGCAACAAAATTTCAAATCTAGGAATTTCGCAAGCGGCGTTGCGTGACATTACCACGGTGTTTTCTTTTCAAATAAAGTCAGTCATTGTTTACTATCATCCAGCCATCAGTAGTCCTTCCTTATCAGTTGGCCAGATCACTGCTTACTGTTATTGGCTATCATATCACATGCTCTTCTTATCTGCTGCACATCTATGAGGATAGCTGAATTCAGACAACAAAAAATGCTGTTTTTGCTGATTTTTCTCGATTCTCCCAAACAAATGCTGATTTTCCTCGATTCACCCGAACTACACACAGATTTCGCATATGAATCCATATCCCTGCTGTTTGATATAATCGATGAAAATAGGTTATCAGAGTTTGCGCCGACTACACAAACAAGGATTTCAGTTTTCAAAATTACCATCAAATGTCTGGGAAAAAGAGGCATAGATAGTGTAGTTGGTGAGTGCCTGGAAGCTCAGAACAAAGGCCTTGGGCAAAGCTGCACTGACCACTTGGCTACATTTCAATAATACCGAGAG